CACACACAGGCCAATATTTCACCTTCGGGACAGTAGTAACCCCTGTCGCTCACAATGAACTATCGTAATGCCAAGATCGTCAAGTATTCCGGAAAGGGACATATAGTCTGGACTGACAATTTTTAACTTGTGGTCGGTCATCAGGCCACATCGGTTTGCATTGCCGTTTGCAGGCGACAGAACGTAAAATGCCTGCCTGGTAGCTCCCCCATTTGCGACTAGTTCTGGTCGATTTTTATGTTTTTGCTTAGAAATATCTCGGCCGAAGGCGACAAGTATGCCACAAGTGGCCATCCCGGCCTTCATCCTTATTGATACATTTCCTTGGAGTGTTGATTTTTCATCACGTGCTCCCTAGTAGAAATCGAGCTCTGCAAACAGGTCATATCGGTAAGCTTAACATGCGGGAGTCAACACTACTACATCTTATGTGCGCCCATGACCCGCCTGACAGACACCGTCTATGCCTATCTGCGCCGTGTGCTGGCACCGGCTTCTAGTCCCGGACGGTGGTCTGGGTCGTGATTGGCTGAATAAAGGTAGAACCAACCTTAAACTTGGATCCGCCTTGGCAAGAAATGCATACTGAAGCCTGATTGTTTTCCATATCCAGGAGAAATAGAACAAATCTCATGCCAGAAAGTCGGGAAAACAGGGAATTCGAAAGTTCTCTGCTGTCGTTGTGTTAGAGCAGAACGTGAGAAACCCATCTGCCATCTTAGAATTTCTTATTGGGCCATTACTTTGCTGGTAGTTTTTCTCTCGCCCACGAGCTCTCATAGTTTAGACCTCGGTTAACTCTCCTTTCTTCACTCCCTACGTTTTTGTTTCGTTTGATATTAGTGGTAAGTACTGCACACACTACGCTTTCTAATCAGCTGTATGCGTCTCGTTAATCGTCGCCTTATGAAGCCGAAATTTGAGGCTAACAGAGACTGAATTGTTTGACAGTACTGCCTTAATTCGGTCAACGTCTGGGACTGGAATTTCGTACCACTATTGGTCGACCCGGCGGACCCAGCCTCGTCTGTCATGCCGCGGAGCTCAGTTGGATAAGAAGGGAACGCGGTAGATGCGGCGTAAGTCTATGCGCCCACCCTGCTGTGGGCCACATGGTGGACATCGTCGGAATCGACGGCCAAACTGTACACAATGCTTCCCCAAGTGCCATCATGACAGTGTGATGATAAGTACGGCAAATGACAAAGGGGTAAAAAGATTCCAAAAATTCGCCACCTAACCTGTGGTTTTTCGAATTTTGGAGGAAAGCCGTTGTCTGATGAAGTGATTGAGAGGAGTGAGGAACGGGTAAGCCTTCGTACGGGGCAAGGACCCAATCGCAAGAGAGTAATAAGCGAACGGTGTCTACCGAAACCCGCGTGTGAGCTACCCTTGTGTATTAGCTGACCAGCACTCCGTCGTTTAGGGGCCCGCCTTATCATGATCCTATATCCGTCTTTTTTATTCACTCACTTGAAAACGACCACCTCTTCGAGTGGGATGCTAGTGAGGTCATCTACATGCCTTTTACCGCGCGCTTACAAATGTTTCTTGAGTCCCGATACTTCAGCGTTAACAACTTCATGCCTTTTGTCGACCTCGGTTTATTGGCATATCTCGCAGGTAGTCACCACTTGCAAACAACTGACGATACCAAGACGGTTCTGATAACTACATTCTTATTCGCCTTCCTCGCTGCATCTTCAGCGTAGGGACATTGGTTTCAGACCCCATATTCCTCGCTCTCCTGTATACAAACACTACTTGATGGGGAGTTCTTGACATCCCGGAAAATACACCAGTTAACTTCCGAATTTCCGAAAAAACCCTCATGCATCTTTAATATTACATTGCCCTGCTTACTGTTACTGACTTCCCTTCCCCGCATTGCCTGGTCTTAGGATGGTGTTGTGGGACTTTCGTGGCGAGAGGAGCGAGACTTGCGGAGAGCCATGTACGATTCCCTACGACGCGTCCGCCAGGAGCGGCAGCGTCACAATCGGCCCAGCGCAACCCCGAGGCGTTCAGCGACCGTGATAACTAGTCACCGAGAGTTGCGCAGCTCCTCCAATTCGCAAAGTGCCAACACCAGCAGCTGCAGCAGCGGTAGCAGTGGTTCAGCCAAAAGAACAGTAACCGGAGACCAGCCAATATCACCCTTACAATCCCCAAAATCGCCTACGTCTCAGGTGAAATCCAGACCATTTTTTACTTTTGCGTTATATCTCCCACCTCCTAGGGGCGAACGGTACCACCTAAAATGTTCATTTAAACCTTCTGCTGCCTCGAAAATGCTTCAACAGTTCAGAAACCCGAACTTGAACGAGTACGCGCGAAAGCACCCAGAAGTTCTGACTAGTTAGTTGCCCCCTGCCTATGCTTGAGAACGGACTTGACAGTTCCGTGTAGAATGGGTGTCTACCTCCGTCACAGCAGCCATGAAATTTGCATATTGCGAATGCCATATACTCCGCCTGTGCGTTCAAAATAAAAAAAACCCCACCCACGGACTCTGTTCCCGTGTAGGCCTCTGCTTAGTTGCTAGATTCTCTTCTATCAAGCGTGGATCCCCTGCTTGTACTAGCCTAACTCCACGTGAATGACATGAATCCATATCCCACGGATGAGTCATAGTGTCACATGGGAGACCTTCAAACAAAAGTAAACCTCGAATTTGGATCCTCGTTTCAGCGCTTGCCGCTTCAAAAATTACTGCCTGCCCGTTTGTATTGCTCGAGGCACTTAATTTGACCAATCTCCTTCGCAGATGAAGGTTCCCATTTAGGAGGTCTCTTTTCTGTAATTCTCCAACTCGGCCCTAAACTCTCCGCCATTTTAGAAGCCCTCCTTGACCCCAGTGAAGGATGCTAAGAGGTTGGAATGCGCCCCATCTGACACAGTTGTCAACCTGGTTCGTGACAAGCGTGCTGCCCCGCGACCACCCTCTCGGTCGCCGCCATCCGCTCATTCCAGCCGACTGTTGCAACTGAGCAAAAAGTTGAAGGCTAAAGCTGCGCGGCGGACGGCTTCGGTGGGTGTTCGCGCCCTGTCGCGCCGGTGAGACCT